GTTAATTATCAAGATTTGATTCTGCAGGCCTTTGATTTTTTTTATTTTTTCTTTATCCTTTGGATTTGTTTTCAATTGTTTTTCTTTCTTACTTAGTTCATCTTCTAGTTTACTTATTCTCTTCTGTTTTTCTTTTTTATGTTCAAAAATTTTTTTAATAAAAAAACCCCTCTAATATATGCTTTAGCTGTATCCCATACTATTTGTATGGGAGTTTCCTTATTTAGATTTTCCTCAAAGAAAAATTTTATTTGTTTTTTCATTTCTTCTACTATTTTTTCATTTTTTAAAAGTGATTCGTTTAGTTGCCACCTATACGATTATTTTCCTTTCCCTAATATCATGGAAACTGGGTTAGGATCTGAACAGATCATCGGTTGTGTTTCTATTTTTTTAACTAATTTTATTAAATGTGATGATATAAAGTACATGTCTAGTCTCGCCCATGAGTTGTGGGGTTTTGAAAAAAAAAGTGTATTCTTTAATCTCTGGATATTTTTCCCTCCATACATCTTTTAAACTTAATCTCTCCAACATCCGAAAGAAGTGTTCTGTTAACTTAGCCTGATTGTCTTTTACTTTCTTTTTTGATCATCTATCCATTTTGGGATTAATAACCCCATTCCAATCTCCTAATGCAATGATTGAGTCATAATTCAATTCTTCTATTTGATTTAAAATCTTTTTATAAAATTTATTCTTTCCATCCAATGGGGCGTAGACTCCTACTAACAGTACTTTCCCAATTGTACAATTTAGCTCTATCATAATGTATCTTCCATTAGTGTCATTTCTTACTTCTTTTGCCTCAAATTTGGGATTTACATAGATCACTACCCCTCTTTTTTTGTTTTCTTTTGAAGCCAAGATAAATTCATTGCCTAATTTTTTGTTTTTAAATATTTCTTATCTTTTTCTTTTATGTGTTTCCTGAATACAAATCACATCTCTTTTCTTTTTTTGTAGATAGTGAATTTTTTCCCTTTTCTGTGGTAAATTGAGACCTAAAAGGATTGAGTCTTTGAAGGAGGAAAACCTATTGTTCAAGTTTGTGCTGTATTTGGCTTGTAGGCACCAGAGCAAATGGTGAGACCTCAATGTTACAAATGTGCATGATAATAATGATGATAAAAATACAGTGGTAAAGCTGTAATTGCTAAAGAATTAAGCTTTAAAGGGGGGATATGAGGCAGGAGAAATTCTTTAATCAATGTTTTATATCCTAAATTAGAGATGTGTCCTATTATGTGTAGAAAATAATGGTCTAGCAGCCATGTGAAGAGGATTCTGGGAAGTGGGCTTCTAAGGAAGATGCTGGAAGGTTTAAACTCAAAGAATGCTAGAGGGTTATTTAGATACAGCTTGACCTCAGGCCTAGTAATCTGAGGCATTAAAGACCTTCATTAGGAGCCAGCATGGGCCAGAGAGCCATAAT